AACATTGCGACCCGATCAATAGGAAGATAGCAATGACAAATTTAATTATTGTCTTATTTAGTAAAGCAACTGCAACGACACTTTTTCCGGGTCTTCCATTCGGTATAGAATGGCAAATATCAATTTGGTCCACAAGCTAAGTGTCCACTTTTCTCTATCCTTTGTATGACATAACACAGTATTTTGATTTGCTTAACATATACAGGACTCAGAGAACGCTACTACGTACAGACGATATCCAAAGGTTCGACTGAAATGACTTATTTGGCATTGCTTTATTTTTTGCTAGTGATTTTTGTCCTACTGAAAATGACTTATATTCGAAAATTACTGGAGGTGTGGGCATTTGATGGCTAAAACATGGAGTTCCTCCGCCCCCGTCCCCCTTCTTGTTCGTCCAGGATCTTCAAAATACAGCTGGTGCTCAGTGACCCAGTGTAAATATATTTACACAGTAACCCAGGTGCAAAGATTGCTTTCCAGCAGACTTCGATTGTGTACCACATAATGGGTATCGTTCGACAACAGTATCCGCGGCGGAGTTAGGTGTTTCCACAGTTGCTAAAAACAAAAATTAGTTTACGCATGCCATAGTATATCCCGATAGATTTATCAGAAAATTATTAAAAGTTGATTGATTCTGGCTATAGCGCAACTTTCAAAAGCAGTCCATGATTGCGCAACTTCCACTTGCCACTGTTTAAAACTATCCGCATGGAAACATCGAAAGTATTGTGGTTATCGAAGCCCTGGTAACCTGACCTATTTATACGAAGCAGGCAAAGTGGGCCTTTTCCACGGCCGTATAATATATGGAGGAGTCTTTCTCTGCGTTGAAATAGAGCAAAGACGAATCGACGCAAGTGTTGCCCAGCAGATATAGATAACTTCGAAAGATCACAGGAATCAATATTGTGACTTGAAAGTTTCAAAATCAAAATTGAGTATCTCGACGCGGGTAGCTGTGAATACATAACTTACAGGTGTAATAGAGTAGCTATCTGAATAAAAACGTTTGCCGTATTCTAAATCAAAAAGTTACTATTAGCAATAAATACGATCCGGGCATAAAATACACTAATATGTCTAATGCGCCTTAATTAGAAAAGATCCTGAAACTCAGATTTTTCAAAGAAGCTCTGACTATTCCAGTGGGACGGACGCTGTGCGATTTCTGATCGATCAACACGCGCCCAATAGAGATTGGACGCACGACAAAACATCAAACCATATATGATAGCATGCTCATACGAAAAGTCAAGCAAGTTCCGGTTTAATCTTCGAGGTTCTCTCGAACATACGACAGTGAAAAATTTACGCTCACCCACGGATACATGTGTACATACTATAGGTATATAACCATATGGCGTCATATCTGAACAATGACGGTTGACCTCGATAGGCCATCAACTGTTCCTGCTGGCGCCGTCTGGCCAGCGAATGCAGTAGTTGTCCATAGTGAACTATAACGAGGGGCGGTGGGTCAGGCCAGCAGCTGCGAGGGCGGTCACAGCAGCAGCGGCAGCCGCTCACTTCTAGAACGAAAACAACTCTAAACGATACGCAACCCTAATACTGATATTCGTAATGGTCGGACAATCGGTCGTTCATCTGCTGTGTCGACCGCCACTGTCGCTGCCGTCGTCGACAAGACTCTGTTGAAAGCGGAAATCGTTCGAAGCAAAAAAGAAAGAATAATAATCACGTCAATCAGCGCCAAGAATGAAAAGCTTTTGTCGTCAACAACGACTTCAAGAGGCGCTGAGTGATACAAGAGGTGACCAAAATCTTTGTCGCTGCTAGCGTCGATTTCTGTGTCCTGTTTGAGTATGGCATGAATTACCGCGCGCTCTGTTTCATTAGACACTTAACGACGCGCTGAAAGCGTCACGCATCTCGATCCCTTCTAGCGAACATTTTCAAGGTAGCAAATTTACATAAGGAGGTTAATACGCGAAGACAGACATGCTTCGATCGCTGTCCTTGCCGCTGTTACAGCGACAGCGGAGAGAAGATGTGTCGCTGCAATAGCTTTTTGATAGATCTGGAAATGATTTTTTTAGCGTACCTATTTGTGTGTGCGTACAGCTCTGAAGAAGAGGAAACAAAGGAATAGGTAGCAAATTGATGCTAGAAGAACTGGATATACGGCATCTGTTTATACGTTGCACTCAGCAATTAGCTTCCGAAGATATCCTAGTCGATTTCTTCAATCTACGAGTGACCTAAATTCGACGATTCTTCAATTCTAGCCTGCATAGAGTTCATAATAAGATTGTTTTTTATGGTAAGGACTCGTAGGAGTCGAATTCGGTGAGACCAAAGCGGAACGCCTTATTTATGGATAATAAATCACCTGATAGAATTTGAACAGCGACCATATAAAGTCTGCAACATCCTGATGTTACCTATTGCATCCGGGACGATTTTAGTTACTACTTTACTGATCATAGATCCAGCTAAAGCTCTGCAATAGCAATTTTACGCCAGTATTGAATAACAAGCGGCATCGACACTGCGTTACAGCGCAATGGGTGACGCGTCTCCCTGCTAATGTTAGGGGTACGTAATAAGCTGGGTTCGGATACGGGGTAGACACAGTTCGTTCTGCGTCGGGGGCCGGTCATCTGCGCTAATGCCTAAAGGTTTAGGTACCGAACGTGAAACACGCGAAACCTTGAGGTTAGGAACTTGTGGATCTGAAATCGACTACCGAGTGCGCCTAAATGATAGCCTGTCTTAGTAAGTGGTGACCTTTTGACAAGAATATGTTATTTTTCTGGTTGGTGGGGCAGTAAGATTCTCGTTTACACAGACAACGGTAAGGGTCTAACTTGATTTGACTGATAGCATTTGCTCACAATCATGTGAAGAACATACCCGCCGTGTGACATATTCAGGCTTGTAGGCCATTGTATGTATGCCAATAATAATAATAATAAGAACTAAGCATACTTCCATCAGTTAATATTGAGCTAAGTGGACATTAAGTATTTTAGATTGTTGTTTTCCATATAGAAGCCTTTAGCTATAAGCAATATTGCGTTTTCAAGAAAAACATCATTGTATTTCTCTAAGACCCTCGATTTTGTAGTTAGACATTTGTTGGGGTCGCACACAGATGACACAATAATTTCTCTGTTACTAAAATATCAGTGATAGAATATTTATATCAGTGCGTATATATGTACTTATACGGCTAGCCTTATCATCCCTGCCGGCCATTTACATTGGCTCGCTGTGACGACGCTCGAGTTCATCGAGTTAGGCGTGTCCATCAGAAAACAGTGACATCACGCAAAACTACATCGACAGATCGTAACCGAAACGGCATTAGTTCTTTTTCAATTGAAGTCTGAGATCACCAAAAGCGATCAAGAAGGACGCGATGAAGGACGCCACGAAACACGTCTTACATCCTGCTGTTTGTTTTCGTCACGTTTTTATGCCATTTACTATGTTTCTATTCGGCCATACCATAGGAACACCAAATTCTGTCCGCGAATATTTCCATGTGCACAGATGTATATGTACACAGTGTAGATACTATTCGCTTAACATTTTAATCGGTCCTCTTGTTCCCCTGGCGGTTTCCTAAGTATGGCGGGTAGTCTTAGAGACGCCTGCGATAGCGTAGAAGTATTCGGTAGGTAACGCTGCTCAAACATACTAAACAGAACGATTCATAGTTGACTAATACAATATAACGCAAATGATAATATAGCGTACTTCGGTGGTGATACAGATAGACGACATTTTTTTTTTCGCAGAACGCCTAGTATGAACACCTCACGAAGTAGAAGGACAAAGTGGATACGTTCAGATATGAAATGATTTATAATATAAAATGTAATCGAGCGAGGAAAGCCAGCATAAAAGTAAAAGTGGTTGGTGTTTGTTAGCCCGCCGCATACCCAGTGAGCCCACGAAAGTGAACGAAGAGAAGCGGATAGTGCCAAAATCCACGCAAAAATATCTACATACTAGCTTGATTCTCCTTCAAGTATCTAACAGCATCACTGGTGAAGAACGTGCTTATCTAGATGATATATATATATATATATAGCAGATGTTTTTCTTTTTGGTAGTTTGCGAACAAACAATGTACGTCTGGCTAACATTAATCGCCGTTTGGAAAAGGTACAGATGAATGTGGACTGATGTTACGTCAATGAAGTGATCGCCTTTAGCTTTAAATAAATCGCATAGGACATGAAGATCGAAATCCTATATGCATAAGGCCGTTCAAAAGGTGACCTAGCTCAGGGCAATCGATTAACTTCAGAGATTGAACATAACATCTTGTGTCAAGCTGAATGAAGCCAAAAGAGTTTTCCAAGTACGAAAATGGAACAGAATAACAGAAGTGCCAAATATTTATTGAAGTAAATTATATATCGTACAGCAAACAATCTGAAATTAAGTGTTTAATGACGCTGACAAATATAAATAGCAGACGTATGAAAAATTTAGCCGAAATTTCCTGAGAAACTCTGTCAAGCCAATCCATAAGGCTATTAATGTTACTTTTTTTTTTTCCCACTTTTAACCCATAACCATTTTACTCGCAGGAAAGATATGCAACTCTGAAAAGTGCACAAAACCCAGAATTGTTGTGACAGACAATTGTGATACTATCGGATTTCCCTTGTAGCGTAGTAATAGCTTCTGTTTGTTAGCAACTTCTAGGTGTACACCCAGAGAGTTGCCAATATGTCGCATTGACTGCATAGGTACATGCAGTCGAGTTGATTTCACAACAAGCATGTAACTAGACAATAGTTCGGGTTGAACTATACGTTTTGTTCGGGACAGTATAACAGCCGCGGGCTAATAATCAGGCTAAATGGCACTTGCTCTTGTCCCATAAGTATAACGATTAAAAAAAAGCAATAAAGGATTCAGTTTATGTACAGCTCTTCCCTTTATTAGCATTTGTTTTATATATATAGAATGTATAAATATATATACGTTCCAAAGCAGGTTTCTTTATCCAAGCACACTGATTAATTACCAGCACAACGATATACAAACCGTCAATATTAACGAATTGATTTCTAAACACTCACTATGCTATCACCCGGTGTACGGCAGTCCTAGCATTTTAGTAGTCGTTCGTTACTGTTTGCTAGAGTCTGACATAATGTTAGCTATTTCACGTAGCTGCTTTTCCTCTTCGATGGAGCTTCTGGGCGCAGGTGGCGTCTGGTATCGATCTTGTCCTTTTTCTAGCAATTTTTCACTCGATCTTCGGAAGACTTCCTTCTGCAGTTGACGATTTTTGAATACTAGCCCGACCACGATACCTATTGCCACGAGCGGAATAAGTAACGTCGCCCAACTGACGGCCGTCTGGGGGGCCTGTAGAGGCATCGAGCATCGGTATGAGCCGATATTATTGTAGCAGGTCATGAGCGGGGGACAGGCATCAATCTGCAATCATAACCACCAGATCAAATAGCAATAATACTAATCTTTATATAATAGCTATGCCACTAATAATAACAAACCAAACTTATACTAAACACTACTAACAAGTGAAGCTTTAAACACCGTTAACGAAATAAACTAGTACAGTATCTACACGTACGAAACATATAGAAATTTACAAGACTGAAACAGTAAAAACGAAATCATTCATAACCACCTATATCCAGTCAGCTTTTTCTATGTAAAGTGATTTTTATGTCTTTACCAAAAACACATCGCTGTTGCCGAACATTGGCGCGCTGCTTTTAAAAACAAGTTGAGACAAGTGCACTTCCGTGTGGCTTCCCTACCGTCTGGGATCGATCAGGTGTAACGAGACCCTTGCCGTCGAACGAGCTAACAATAACGGTTAGTTACCCATAGTTTTTTTTTTTTTTTTTTTTTTTTTTACCTGACATTCGTCGACATCGACGCAAATCAATTTGCCGCGCTCGTACGTGGGAGTGTAACCCGGGTGACAGGTACAGTTGAAAGTTCCAGGTAAGTTACGGCATGCTTGCGGACATAGCCCTATCACTTCCTTACATTCATCAATCTCCTCGCAATGCTTGCGGCCATAGCTGCCTCTCACTAGCCGAAAACCGGATCGGCAACCGCAACGATGTCCACCCTCAGTATTGATGCAGTGCAAAGGATGGCACTCGTTATCTAGCGTCGACTCACATTCGTTTGAATCAGTACATCTTCGTCGGCCATCCCACATCTTTTTCATAACAAAACCATCCTCACAGATGCACTCCTCGTTTGTTATATAGCCCTCACGGACACAATAATCATCCACGCATTCCACCTAATTAACAAAGAACCACTACAATTTAGTAAACTAATCACATGCATATCGGTCGCAGGACCAACGCTGCGAGCGTCCTCAGATGGCCTACATCAGCTGTGACCATAATAGAAAGTTCACGACTTCACTGTCGTTCACGTGCTTAATGGCCCATTTGATTTGCCGGATTTATCTTCGCAAGTACCTCTATGAGAAATCTCCATCAACAATGTTAATCTACGTCTTCTGTGTGTCTGTCATAAACAGTCCGCTCAGTAATTAAATAACTCGTAAGAATGGTACAAAAATGAAAAATTCTAGACGACTGGTTGGCTTTTGATCGGAAAAATCCGCATAGTGAAGGCATCATAGTGGCTGAAGTTGTATTCTGTAAATAAAAAAACAGAAAATACTTCGATCTGCCACAGATTTCAGACTAAGAACACATCAACATGTTGAAGGTTAAGTCGCTAGTTTTCGGAGAAAAAATACAATGTTGAGTAGTAAAGCTGTAAATAAATGGACAATTAATTTAGAAATTGTTCCTTTTTTTTTTTTGTCTCAAATACATACACGCTATACAAATGAATGTGTAATAATGAGTTCACAGATGCTTAGGTATAATTAAGTCAAAGTGAAGTCACAGCAGATGGGCTGAGCTTAAGAAAGTATAGTGCGTTTTTTAGCCACTTTGCTACGGACGACTGCTGTCAACGGTACAGGCCCCCATACGATAAAGTAAGTGCAAAAAGTTAACGCTCACGGACGAGACGTCATTCTATAAAGTCGTTTGCCTGATAGTCTAATAGCTTTGAAGCGTAACACTCAACCATTCGTAACTTATATGTAAGCATATTCTCACTTCTTGAACACGAATTCGCTATACGACTTAAGCCAACCTTATACTGGGTATAATTTGCGATTGCTTAAAGTGTTCAGTGTACGACGATTAGTAAGCTACAAAAGTTCAATGAATATGTGGTCGAATAATCTGAAGAGCGGTATTCTAACAAGTCAAAGAATTTCTTGCGTGTAGGCTTCACTTTTCGATGGAACACTACGGGGAAAACCTCATGTCGGGGACACCTCTGCCTTATGCTAAAAGATGTTGGAAAACCTTTCTATACACGTTAATCTGAACCTATCCATTGAGCCTAATCAAAAAATGGCCGTTTTGGGATTTAGCCTTTTTTTGGCAGCTGTAGCTCACTAAGCTACGGGTTGAAACAAGTTAATAGCATTTAAATAGTAGAAGATCACGTCTGAAAGTGATTACCTCGAGTTCTTTGCCGCTATAGTCTCGCTGAACTTCACAGGTATCACTGCGTTTGCAGAGGGGCATGTGCCCAGTGTAGAACTCTGTGCTATAATTTGCTTCAAGATGGTATCCGTAAAGACAGTAGAAACAGCTATGTGTTTCCATATTGCAAATCCCGCGACGCTCTCGTGTGAAATCGAAGCACTCAGTTGGCTTGGAGCAGTGGCACCCTTTACCAGTGACGCAGATTCGGATGCGAGCCACACGGCGCGCGGAAATCGCTGAAAGAACGCCCGGGACGAAGAAGATGACTACTGGCCATCGACCCAGCGATCGCGTCCACATTTTCACCAAACGATATTTATGTGCTGAAGTTAATGTTTTGCGTAAAACGCGAACCCGAATTCTGTCTCCTACTCGAAATTTCCGTTAGCCTGTGCCCTGGAGCACATATCGGACGACCGGTCAACTAGACGACCTTAAGACACGCACAGATACAGAATAATTGATCTGTTACAGACCCGCTCGTACTACTAACGGAAAACGTTGTACAATGGCAATATTTTAAAGTCTATTGTTGTGACTTCTTTTTCTATTTTTTGTTTCGTTTGGGGCCCATTCGAGAAAAGGCTGATATCTCTTTCTGCAACTGCATGCTGACGTTATAGCTTCAGAACAGCTTACTAAATAGTACTGTTTTTATGCAACGCTGAACACATAGATATCTAGTTTTTATTAGCAGAGGGTCACGCATTGTAAATTAGGGAAAGGTTCTCGATTGTAGCCCTCGAGGGGCTTGCTTTTAGAATGTCTCTACAAACAGGGACATTTTTATGAAGACAGCTCAAAGGTGGGCCGTACTGAATGAAACCATCTGACCTCGACGACTCTTGCTAGCATGAGTCAAAATAGCCATCGTTACAACATTAACATCATGACGCACTCATTGAGATCTCATCATGACCGACAACGTACTCGACGTACGTGCGTAACAGCAATAATGAATTATATTTTTTTTTATTTCTTTCTGAGTGACATAAACAATCTGGTATGATTCGATTGTAAAGTGTCCCTAATTCTAGTTGGCCTGTAATCAGCCAGTTTGCTCGTTTATTCATCTGGGTGCCTTATGTCATTTGTTTCTGAGAGAGGCTGATAAAAAAAGAGAGCGAATTACGCTCGACGGTTCAGGGGCCTAGATTGAGCCTAAATTTGTTTATGAGTTGCATATGGATGTTAATGCTAGAACTGTGAACAAATTCGAAAAATTAAAGAAATCAATCAATATACGCTTCTTAGCTTAAAATGTTAAAAGGGGCTTCGTAAGAACGAGCATAGTCACCAAGGGCTAGAGAAGCTTATAATATACTGTTATTCATTCGCCTGTTTCGTATTGCGTTACACCTAACCGATCCGGGGGCCAGTTAAGACAATTTCTTCTATCTTCTTTTGTCACTGGAATACACTGGCCCTATTTAGGAATATCAACAAAATAACAGTGGAAAAGATCTACTCTAGTTCCTAATCTAGCATCATATATGCTTAGCACTTTGAGGTGACTTCTGGCTAATCTTAACGAAATCGTGCTTTTCATTTGACTAAGAAAGGACAAACGTAAAGAACCTTGAATTCGTTTTTGGAAGCGTTCGTATTTTTCTATTGTTATTCAGTGCACCTCTAAACAGAGATTGATTCAATGTCTTTATCTCGGCCGTAGACGTTGCATGACAATAGTTTGAATCAAGCAAAGAAAAGAAACTAGAAAATGGTCATTTTTTTCGTTTAATGAATATTCAATGTAACACGCATGAGGGTAACGTGTAATAGATATGTAGGTTTCAGAAAGCATTTGGCCCCTTTACCATTATGAGCGGCATCCTTAATCGTTATCAGTGATTCCGATGATGGGGCTCTATTGCAATAGCTCTGTCCAAATTGTACGAAATAACAATGTCATAATCTAATAATAATGATAACAATACCGGTAGTAAAATAACACGATCACGACGACCGTCACCTACAAAATTCTAGATACTATAATTATCCATACCTTTTTGCCCTAGACACATTACTAGAGTATTTAAATAACAATGCTGATGATAAGTAAAAACACACAGTTTTTTTTGCTTTAAAATGAATTGCCTTAGCTACAATATATTTTAGTTTGAGATATACAAGTTACCTAGTACAGTTTAATAATAAGTTTTTTGAACTTTTGAAATACATCAATCACTTCGAGCAGTGTATGTCGTTTTTACAGCGTATTTGCATAATCTATACGTATTCAAAATATAATTTGTGCGGAACTCAGAATAAGCTTTCACACTAAATACTTATCGTGGACGAATCACTTGTTGTTCCCATCAAACTCTGCAGATCCTCACGTTTATGAGGTACGTGGTCCTGCCGGGGAGTCTGTTTAGACAGCGCGATTTTCGGAGTGGTGGGGTGAACACGCATGACCGGTCCCGCGTTACTTCTTTCTTTTGTGTACCGACTGCATAAATCCCAAATCCTCCACCCACCAACGCCTATAGCTCAACGTAGAAGTTGATCCTAGGCTCATTCGTTTACTTCGGTTTATGTTCAAGCCACTTATTGACTGTGTCACCTCAGTCAGCAAGTGGAGTACCTACCTACCTTGTGTTAAGCTATCCACATCGAACATTTAACCAAAATTTAAAAGGAAGGCCGCCTTACTTCACAGAACCGATTTCACCGCCTTTTTACTTGCCTGCTTGAGAAGACAATTTTGGTAATTTGTAGCACTTTTAACCTTTTTCAACTTATTTCATTTTTCGTATTGATGCAGCCTGTTTCGGCCGACCTTCAAGCTTATAAGTTTATAAATAAACATATAAAATAATTGGTAAAGCCGTCGCAATTTTTAAGAATTGCATATAGAATATTTAATTTTGTTTTTAACTAAGTTGAGCTTAACTAAAGGGGAAAACCAGGCCTTGGCCTGCCCTTAGCAATTTAGATAAAGAACTGAAATAGCCATTTCGATTCTACACCACAGTCTCGCTTATTTTAAAGCGATATTTTCAACAGCGAACTATAAATAAGTAATAAGTTACACTATGTGGGACTATACGGGACGCTGAATTTTCATAAATGGCCATGATCAAAGTTCGTCATGGATAATTATTTCTACCATAATAATGCCATATAGGCTAGATAACAATGTGCGTACCGTTTTTAAAACTGCTAAGATAATTTTAAAACGGTGCTTGCATTGTTACTATATTTTCTCAGCGTTTCTCGAGCAACAAACAACGCGTTGATGAGTTATTATCTGGTCCATTTGTAAGCAGGCTTCACACTGCAGGACAGATTCATGGTAGGCTAATGATTAGTCCTTTCGACCTGCTCAACACTGCAGTGAACTATTAAAAAATATCGGTGTCTCTAGCCACAACCAAAGCCTTTCTAGAATAAGAACTTTTTTTTTGCACGTAATCGTTACTGGCCCATATAACTCTACCTTGTGGGACACTTTGGCAAATTATATCAGTGCCTTCAATAGATACTTGCTTAAAAATGAATGAACTAATATATTGTTACATTTGTTTGTTTCTTTCTTTCTTTCTTTCTCGTCGAGTTGGTTATTCTCAACGACAGCGTTAAGTAAATTATAGCTTACATAGCCCCAACTTTTCGTACAAACGATCATGCTGCATTGGCGGCCTTCTCATCCTATGCCACTGCTTCTGGCGCCGTCGATCAGGCAGCCATGTTTGGCAAACCAACGCATCCACGCACGCCAGGTTACGAGCCGAGACAAGCAGCAGTCTCCTGTTATTGTCACAGGAGCTGAAGTGGTCGTAGTGGCTCGGCATCAATCAGCGCTTGTTGAGAGCGCAAGTGTGTGCTCAAATGATTCGGCTGACAATTTGTGGTCCTTTCAGACCGCTTCGAGATAGTTTATCCCTTTTGAAAAAACCCATAAATAGGTGCATTTGCGCTGCCTGCCTTGGCCTCAGTATCAACTAAACTGTAATGTGATATGCTAGCCCGCGCTTAAGGCCAGCAGGCCCAACCTGCGCAATCATGTAGGCTCTGTTTGTTGCAGGGGTCAGGCTCTCCCGAAATTTACTCTTGGAATACTCAAACTAACTTGACGTGGGAATAATATCGGCTTCGAATGCTTGTGAGGAGGTTAGCTAGATTTTGCGGTCCTGCCAACCAAGAACACTCTGAATTTGAGACTGACAACGAACTAATCCAGTAGTGTCCGTTCCGCACACACGGATCGGTAAAACATTTCTTTGTTCTTTGTATAGCAGCAAAAGAGGTTCAAAGTAACTTTAGCACTTCTCGGAGAGGAACGGTCGTTCAGCTTCCCTTTGAAGCTGTCCTGTATGTACGTGTTCATATTTTATACACGCACGTCATACGACTGCCACGTAGTCTTCTACACTTGCACTGTTCCCTAATCGGCTGACCACCCGCGACCCCTGGTCCTTAGTCAGAGACTTAGCACAGTCTGGTACATTTTGATTCGAATATGATCATATCATTTGTATAGCAGCACGCCTATTCTGTGCCTGTTACGATTCATAGCATTGTTTATCATTTTTGGAAAGACCGCACAACTTTAAATCATTTGGGCCTAATGCATAACATTTGTTTACGGAATGTAGCTGAAAGTAACGGTGCCATATTTATTAACGTTGTTATCAGTTCCTACCGACGCTAAGGCTCAAAACCGTCTATGCGAGTCGAGGGTAGAAATCGTCAACGCTTTAAAACAAAAAGTAATTCGGCTAGTTCACGGCAAAAATTAATATCTCGGGTAGTTTCAGTATTAATCAGAAACTAATCCTTCTCGATCTTAAACTTTGCTTGAATGTAAAAGCCTTACACGAGGAATAGAAAGGATTCAGGCTTTTACTCTCACACGGAAAAATTTTTATCCTTATTTTTATAACATTCGCCCGTGACAATTCAGTAAAGTTTCTGTTAAACCAGACCGTGCAATAAACGAACTCATTAAAAATAATTGCATCGAAATAGCCAATACGAATAATTTTTTATTTAGTCACAACAAAGTATCATGTCCTTCTAATGCCTATTTGCGTCACAGCTTCGCTTTGCGTGCTTATTCTATCGTAATGGGCCTGATTTGTCGAATTGCGCTGAAAAAAATGTTTCCTACGGTTACGATTTCTCCAATTATAAAATGTGTTGGTCGTTTTATTCCAAAAATAAGGTACGCTCTGTATATCAGTCGTGTTTTTACCAGGCCCGGTAACGACGAATACTTTTAATAACCTGTTTTATTTTGGTGCAAATTAGCCGGATTTTCCTGAAGTGTCTTGGTAACTTACTGGAAGCAGTATATAACAAATTCACCCTAAAGTACTTCACGATTACCGGCCTCTGTGGGACGTCATAAGGTAGAATTGGTATGTTTTTACGTACCGTGGCCTGTAATTTGCTATTGATTTATTAAGACTAAGCTCGGGAGCTCGACGAGGACATCCGCAATAATGATAGTATTGCGGTTGTAGTTTGCCGTCATATAGTAAAATTTTTCGCAGACTTTCTTTTCAGGAAATGCCATCGGCGCTAGCGCAGAAGACACGTTCTCATTACACCAGCAACGTTTAAGCTGTTTGCTCAGATTAGTCCAGAAGATCAATTATATAGTTGTGCTAATCGTTACACAGCGGCTATCTAATGGTAACTAAAAGAGAGACGGGCCCTTGTTTCCTGGCGCCGCCGAAGAAGGCTCACTCCCATCAGATCATTTGAAGATTATCTTCGTTCGTTGTGGCTCTTATGATTTGCCTTTAGCCGATGTTGGCTGCTGGCCCTCCGGGTGCGCCTCTTCCCGGAGTCATCGACTAATAGTTCGACCTGGCCGGAACGTGTATCAATTGTGCTGTGGTATCCAGCGCTTTCGCACACGAGAAAATAGTAATGCAACTGCGTTCACAGGCGATCATCGGCAACGGGCGATCGAACGATTTAGAACAATCTGCTTCTTCTGTCTTCCTTTGCTAAAACTGTTTGTACATATGATATTCGAAATATTATACCTCTCATTTATTCTTCGACCACTAATCCTAGTCTGTATTAATAATGAAAATAACAAATAAGAAGATTAATAATAACAACGAGGTTTCATTGTGCGTGTATACGTTCATAAATGAATTGAGCGAGTAGTGCCAAGGAATCCGAATTGCCCAATGTTGGGCGCCTGCGCAGGACCACTTCCGGTGCGGCACTTGCCTCCCTGGTTCGTCGCCCTCGTGACCATCGGCCGCGGCCCGTCCGCCTCTCGCAGCATGTGGTGGGGTCTTCACCTTTACTCATAAATACAACGACACTGAACCACTAACAAAGCCAACGCGCGACTGCATTTGCTTGTCGAAGCTCTTCCTACCAACACGGCGCTGCTACGTCCAAGATGGGCAGCAGTTTCGTTATTTGTCAGTTAGTTGTATTGGCGATCCTCGTACTTGCGGTGAGAAACTGCCAGGCGCTTGTTCTTCAGGGTACGAATGCAGATGCCGAGTATCTGAGTGCTGCCACAAAAGATGCACATGAGCGAAACAGCAAGACAAACAAAGGCCAACAGCTAAGCTCCATAGTAACGGTTGGAGAGTCGCGGCAAGCAAGTTCAGCCAGCGCTAACTCCTCTACATCGAGTATCGCCTCGCAAGTGAGTTCTGCCCTCAGTCAAATTGACCTCGGTTTCGGCTATTATAAGATGTGCCCTTTTCCCTTCTCCTATTTGCATCAATGTGAAGGTTCGTCTGATTGTCCAGGTAGTGATTGCTGCGGCATGTACGCCTTTCCAGGACCCAACCGCTGGAGAAGGTCGTGCTGCGTACCTGACAGTGTTACAACGATCGCACGAGTGGCGAGCCTCTGCATTAAGAGTGCCGAAAAACCTGGTAGGTGATTTAGCTAACGTATATTCATTCCCAATTACAACTTTACTAATCACTATTATCTGTGGATTGCATTTTACTGCTCGGGGTCTGCTGTCCTCTTATACTATTCGTACAGCAGACAAGTGTTCACACAGTTCTTCGACGACAATTAAACTCCTTTACGCTTTTTAGCTAAACTTGTACTTTAGCAATATTGCCCCCTTTCTCTCAAACATACAAAAGCTCGCAGTGTTCGCTTTGCAGGCAGTAGTTTGTGTCTTTTATTCCATTTTTTATTTATTATTATTATTACTAATAAGATTTGCCTTTTATCACCACAACTCCTTGTGACAGCATTTCAAATACTAATACTTCGCATACTATTTAAACACATACACTGCACATAAACATAGTTAAATCTGCTTAGTGTTTACTAACGCTTTTCCGTTCTGTGATTAGGTGACGTACCTGTAAGTAATACTCGGCCGTTGATTCCTAGCGCATCCTCAGTGCTTCAGAATGTTGTAGCCCAGGCACTCGGAGTCGGAGATAGTGGTTCGGATGATGATGACGAGGATATCAAGAAACACTGAGAGCATGCGGTAAATTGGCACTACAGAAACAACTAAGCACCAGTCAACGAGAGTCGGACACGACCCAACTGGGTCATTCAAATCGTATATCAGACATGCACAAGATTTCTGCCGCCAGCTATTTAGTTGATAGCAAAGGCTAAAGCAGGAAAAAAAATCGTTGGCCTCGGCCAAACGGCCGATGATAGGGATCGTCAGGCTTTCTGTTTGAAGTAATTTGTGCTTAAGATCGAGGAAACAGAAGGACACTGTAGCCAGTTAATCAGTTGCCAGTTGACAAGGCTTTTGATAGTGTTTATGTTATACTCTGATTCCCTGAATGGCTCGGTGGCTCAGCTGCCCACCTGGCTTACACCTGGTGTCTTGTACATTTTAGATATAGAAGAATATATTTATATGGAAGATAATATTTAATATTATGTAATAAAGTAATAAACTTACTTTTCCTGCTCCGATGTTTTCAATCCGGTTCTATGGCAAAACGCTCTGGACAGGTGAGTAACACATGTAACGTTCATGTATATTCTATCGAAATGTCATCTTAATAAAGTTTATTTCGTAATAGCACCCTTATTTTAGAATAACGTTGGTGAAATGGAAACAAATTTTCGATTAAAGGCATTATTACAAACGACATTATCTTCTGTACAGGAGGGCACCTGTCTTGTAGATGGCATATCGGGGTAACTTGTTCGTATGCAACGATTTAATGACACGCGGTGGTCTACGTTCGAATCTGGCCGTAGACACATTTCATGTTGCGTTGGGAGCCGGTTTTCTGTTGGAATGTCGTACGTCGGTACAGGACGTAACATTCAAAATGATTACTATATAGAGCAAGTGGCAATTCAAAGCACACACATGGCTCAGCGATGCATGAATAAGCTTTTCCGGTTTGGAAGAAACAATAGCACTGACCAAAGCTACTTCTATAATCCCATTTCAGTAGAAACAACTAACATCTAGAAGTTGCAACAAACACAGGCCAATCCTCTGTATATATATGTGAACCTTTTGATGGTGGTTGATCTAAACCGACTAACTGCGCGCTACTTCACCGCTGAGGCCAGCCAAAACTCGCACCCTAACATGAAAGCTTGCTCTAAACAGGCTATAAGCCAGCTTGCGGCTGTGGCGGCAAGAAATGCTTCGTCATTGAATTTTGAGCGAAGAGCAGATGTTAATAAAGCTCCTTACGCGAAGAAAACTTCCCGCAGAGAGAGCTAAACAAAAGAATAGGTGTTCTAGCAAAGTGATAAATCAGTTCATGTTAACTGGTTGGTTCGGGATTGACTGCTTGAGAATCTGAATATGTCCTACGATAAACGCATATGGCCGTCGTACATCCCAGATTCGAATCCGTTAAATCCATATGTAATAAGCCTAATTGAAGGAGGGCCTCGACAACAACGTCATCCTATTCACTTGTGCCATTAGGATAGCGTTCGCGCATCTGCAAAAAGAACGTTTTAATTTTTTTATCTCTTTAAAATCTTTTATCTTCTACTCCTTATCAATCTACGCTCCGAATCGAGGTAACTTTTAGGGTATATAGAGACAGCATAGGGTACCGATCACCGTTCAAAATGACAGAAGCGCATGAAAAAAATCATCGTCATACCTTTTTTTTTTTTCATAGAGAGTCATAAAAACAACTCGTTAGAAAAAGTCTAAATTTTAGTCGGCCATGATGACGCCTAGTTGCCTGAAATTCATGTTGCGGACTTCGTACAACTATGGGTCTCGCTCCCCTCAAGGATTTCTGCGAGATATTCGACCTCGAGGAGAAGAACGCGTAAAAAACAATAAAAAGCGCCTAATTGCTTTAGTCTAGTAAGGGAAAGTCTAAAGTGGAAGAACTGACTCCAGATAGTCTTGACGGGAGGCCACATCGAAAGTCACGCTGTGTAACGTTTTGAAAATCATGTCAAAACCTGCTTTGGCGTTGCGCCGAAAGATGACTTTTAATTTGACGAAACAAATATGTCACCGCATGATTTAAACCCTAAATAAAAGCTACCTACGATTAGTAGGTGGCCACGTTAATACTGTACAACAACGGTCGGTAGAACTATAAGTCTTGTCTTCCCTGTTAATATTTGTGCTTTAAGCAGATCAACTTTATTCGTTATTGTACTTCTTAAATAAGAAAAGTAAGTCCGTTTTGGTAGTCTGTGTTAGTTTAAGTTAAGCAGAGAAAGCCTAAGATAACATCAAGTTCGTGTTCGAAGCCGGAAAGGTCTTTCGAGTCATTCGCCTTGCTAATATATTCATATTTTTAGACTATTTTAGAAATGTTGAGAGTGTTTGATATAGTTCATGGCTTCGAAGGCTCTCAATATATTAGAATCCAATTAAATGATAGGCGGGTAAATACTTGTCGTGGTAAACGACAGAATGCTATTTTTCCTACATACAGCGTTCTGTAGCCGTGTTCTGTAGCCGAAGAAATATTTAGAGGAAGTATTTTACATAAAACTGGAAAAATTTATGAGATGGAGGAAAGTGGGGACAAAATGTCTCGTATTGACTCACTCTCATTCTTTTTTTTTCGAAGCTTGTCTGCTAGCTGCCGACATTGAGGGCATTCTACCTTTGCTAGGGAAAGCTAAACAACGCACAATCACAGATCAGTGGAAAAAATCGAATTCGAAGTAAGGTAAACGCAGACAGGCATGACAATGCAGAGGCTTTTGTGTATAAAGTGTCCTAAGAAAAGATTCGTGTAATCAACGGGCGACTCGAAATGGCAAGGTATTTTGACTTGCCTTCTACCTTGATATTACGCAGCTGGTAGAAGCGACCAGGACGAGACAAAGCTTTGTGGGTCTATCTAGAAATTCTAAATGTAAAACTGTGCAAATCGCTTTAAGTAATAATGCATGGTTTACTCACTTTGCTAATTAGAAATAGTTAATTGGATCCTATTTGATGTCTAGAAAAATTCAACTAACTTTTATAAAAAAAAAAGAAGAAAAAATATGCGGAATGAGATTTTGTCTTCAGTAAAAATTAAGGTTTCACCAATTGTTCACCCAACGTTCTTGACGACTCTAACAGTAGTAGCATTTCTTCCTCAAACAAAAACGAAGTTTTCGGGAAGAAGTTTTCGGAATTTTTTGCCAGCCATATCTATCAGCCCTACACACTTTTTCTAGACAAATTTCCAACGTTCGTGACGGTCACGTATCGGGTGCATACAAATGAATCCATTAAACAACACGGGTGTCCGCCACCGATGCATCAAGTTCCAATGTTGGCAAATAATAACAAATGACTTATGAAAAAAGATAAAAAGCGAAGGAGTATAAGAGCTACAGGAAGACTAATGTAATTGTTCTTTTGTCTCATGACAACACTCGTTTGGCAATTCCAAGGCTAATCCAGACAATAGGGCAGCTGAAAATCAGTTCTAAATAGAGCAAGGTATGTTCTCGGAATCAACCTCTATGGCGGTGAAAGGCAGAGAACATTGTCGCTATTATTGGATCCTGCCGGTTGGTAACAGCTAAACAATTGCCAAGCTAATATTTGGCACAAGCTCGTGGTTCTAAAAACAAAAGCCTAAATGCTCGAGGACTCGTTCAGGACAATAATTAAATTCGCGTTAACAACCGTTATTATCAAAAACTACTTATTCACAATATGCGACTTAGTGCAAAGCTTTTTACAGAAAATATTATAGAAACACTTAATTACTATTACGCCATGAGCTCACGCGTTGGTACACACGGAACCGAACGAGTCAGAGTTTTGTTCACTCATTCGCTATTACCTTAAGCAGCAAACTGTGTCCCGGATACGGTTTTACTTCTCACAGTTGTAAATTATGCTCAGAGAGTTACGACTACGCACATAAGCCCTATCTCAGCATAACAATCAATTCCATGAATTGCGAATCTCCTTGTCTAAACTCCCAAAGCTATGTCGTGGTGAGCCGTGGGTATGTGTTTGTAATAAGGTTTCGAATAACCGCCACTGGATCCCCCTTATTCTTGCTGTTAAAATAGATCAACGGTTAGCCGTTAACAATGCAGTCCAGTTTTCATCTACATTTCGTCGAATAATGATCCTAAGTGGTCTTGCACAAGGACAGCCAGGAACAATATCAAGAAGATATATTTTGCACCCAATATCATTATAGAAAGTGACTTTACGCTCAAACGTCCTGGATGACGCTTCCTCTCTGCTCAGACCACTTCGAATGAACCTTACTCTTTCCGATTTTTGCATATGATGGGAACAGGATTTTCAAATTGTAGCGCACAGCCATTTTATGTAATCTTTGATAATCCCCTAAACTTTTCTGATTGTATAAGCTTGTGTCTATAACAAGCCGTTTTCTATGAGAAAAGAGAATTAAGCTTCAAGGGTAATCGAATATACAAATGATCAAACATACATTCGTAGTTAAATGATGCGTAACTTTAAAATTAGGAATAATAGGTCGTTAAGAAAAGTGGACTGCAATTTCAACACATACACTCTCAATCTAAACTTGAAACTTATTTGCCATCCGCAAACCTATTATATTGTTTCCGCATCGATTGCTCGATTTTTACAAATTTTACTACATTGAAATAATTATAATTTCCTAGTAATTTCTCCAGTTTGCAGAAGCGCTTTTAACTGAAGTGTATTATAAATAGGCACTTACTTATTGGATCCTTTCCAGCTTCCATATACATTCAAGTTTAATACACAGGAATTTAACTCGCTACTTCTTTTCAAGTTGATTAGGTATGCTTAATGATGGGTGCCGACTCCCTCAGCCTATCAGAACTAATTAATCACTAATACAAAAAATGGATAGAAGACGAACTTTTCAACGGCTAGTCTGCAGAATACATATTTACGGCGCAAGCCCACGTTAGCCAAAACACTGGTAAAACGAAGGCATGTCACAAGGTAAACCGAGGCTCTTTATTGCAGTGGTGGGGTTCATAGCTTTTCTATCGCTTTTGTAAATACAAGATTGCCTACAACCACCGAAAAAATTATTTTCTAAGGATCAGAAAGGGTTAACACTTAAAGTAGCTCAGGCGAATCGTACAGTTAGCACTATGCTAGCAGAATCAATTGCCTGGCATTTCAACGAGAGACCAGCACTATGAAAAGAGCCACCAATAGGTCCAAGAGAAGCAATACTAGGCAAATGGCAGAATAGATGGTCTGCCATTCCCCGCTTTGCACTAGGAGCTGACGTCAGAGACGTAATATTTACCATCAAACAGATGCACTTTCCTATAAGATACGGTTTCTTTCAGAGTTATTCACGTCGGATAGAGAAAGCCCCATTGGATTTTTGCTTAATATGCCCTAATCACACTCTTCACCATGCATTGGTACTGCTAAGATACACAACAAACGACTAGCTTTATAGCTGCTCTCACAAACGGAGCTAGGGACTTTGTAGAACACAACCCACAGAGACCTGAGTTGGAGCAAGCAGACTCATCATGGACTCTTC